AGAGATGAAAAGCGCGTAGGCTGTTTTTTCCATCGCCGTGTATCTACTTTCAGCTCCGTTTAGTGCTTTGCTCACATAATAAATAGGCTTTTGCGCCCCATCATCTCTTATTAAAACAGAGCTTACAGCATTTGGGGAAATTCCCAGGTACAGATACAGAGTTTCACCCGGCTGGGGTTTAGACAATACAATATCTGACACTAGGTACTCCTTCAGCTCCTCGAATGCCCTCTGGCACTCCTCGTCCCATGCAAAAGTGTTGGCCTTCTTCAGGACTTTGAAGAAAGGCAGGGACCTTTCAGCTGACCGGGAAAGGAACCGGCTGAGTGCCGCTAAACGACCGGTCAACTTTTGGACATCCCTCACAGATGTGGGGGCCTGCATTTCAGTGATAGCCCGTATTTTTTCCGGGTTGGGCTCTATTCCTCTCTTGGTCACCATGAATCCCAAGAACTTCCCGGTGCGAACCGCGAAGACACATTTCTTAGGATTCAACCGGAGATTGTATCTTGCCATGATATCAAATGTGGCACGCATATCAGCCGGGTGACTGAGGGATACCTGGCTTTTGATCAGCATGTCGTCGACGTACGCCTCCATGGTCTTCCCCAGCAGCGGCTTGAAGAGCTTGTTCACCATGCGCTGGTAGGTTGCCCCCGAGTTCTTCAAGCCAAACGCCATCACCCGGTAGCAGTAGGTTCCTTCGGGCGTGAGGAATGACGTCTTCTCTTCATCCTCTTTGGCCATGTAGATTTGGTGGTAGCCCTTGAATGCATCCATGAAGCTTAAGAGCTCGCACCCTGCAGTTTCGTCCACCATCTGATCTGGACTAGGAAGGGGGTATGAATCCATCGGACAAGCTTTGTTCAAGTCCGTGTAATCCACACACATTCTCCATGTGTCCCCCTTGGGAGCAAGGACCACGTTGGCCAGCCATTCCGGGTATTTGACTTCCCGAATGTGACCCACACTAAGGAGGTCCTTCACCTCCTTCCTGACGAAGTCTCGCCGGTCACTGGCCAGGTATCTCTTCTTCTGGCGTACCGGTCGACTTCCATCCCTCACTGCCAGCCGGTGGCAGATGATTGAGCGGTCTATCCCGGGCATGTCCGCCACGCTCCATGCGAATATGCCTGCGTATTCTTGGAGCACCCGTGTAATCTCTGCCTTGTATCTCTTTGCGTAATCTCTGCGTATTCTTGGAGCACCCGTGTAATCTCTGCGTATTCTTGGAGCACCCGTGTAATCTCTGCCTTGTAATCACTGGCCAGGTATCTCTTTGCTCCAATTCTGACCATCCTTGATGAATCACCCGGGTGAAGTTCAATCTCCATCGTCTCAGCTTCAGGCTCCAGTTTCTCCCGGGTCTCTCCCTTGGTGATTTCCTGGGAGATGACGTTGACTCCCTTGGTCATCCTCTTGACTGCCCGGGCATAGCACTCCCGGGCATTCCTCTGGTCGCCCCGTACTTCTCCCACACCGCCTGGAGTGTGGAACTTCATGCATAGGTGGGGCATGGAGATCACTGCCCCAACCTTGTTGATGCCTGGCCTGCCAAGGATTGCGTTGTGGACGCATTTGATGTCCACAACAATGAACCGCATCCTTTTCCACACGGTCTTCTCGCCTGATCCTAGTTCGACCGGTAGAACTATGGACCCTTCAGCTTCCACCGTATCTCCCGTGAAACCTGAGAGAGGAGTTTTGAGGGGTTCAAGTTGTGTCCGACACAACCTGAGTTTCTGGAAGGTCTCCAGGTAGAGGATGTTGACACTGCTGCCGGTGTCAACAAGTACCCGGGCGACGTCCACCCCGTTGATGTCCATGGTGATGACCAATGGATCATTGTGATCTTCACCGGTAGGAGGGAGGTCGCGGTCAGTGAAGACTATTGGCTCCCTCCTGGGATACTTACGCCTGGCCGGTTCAGCACTTACTTCACCCACGTAAATGCTGCGGACCCAGTTTTTCCGCTGCGCGGCTGAATCTCCCCCCTCGGGTCCGCCGAAGATTATTCCAATATGCTCTTTGTCAGGGGGAGGTTGTTCCCTCGGCCTGTTGTTCCTCCGCCGGTCCTTATCCCGGTCGCTTTCCTGGGTCGCTGGCCTAACCCATTGGTGGTTCTTCTCTTGGGCTTTCTGTAGATAATCTTTACCCAGTTCCCCGCTATCTATCATCTGCCGGATCACTCCCTTAACACTCTTGCATTCTGATGTGTTATGGGAATCTGACCGGTGGTATGAGCAATAGGTGCCCGACCACTGGCGCCCAGTTTGACCGATAGGATTTTCCGGAGGAATGACCGGGTAGGTAGCCGGTGCTTTCCTTATCTCCTGGCACTCTTCTGTGTTGACCACGCGGACGACCGGGTCATAGTGGTGCCTTGGCCGGTTGGATCCCGGCGCCTCTTCCTTCTTGACTGGCACCGGCTTGGGCTTGTAACCATGCTCGGCCTCTTTCTTCGCCCGGAGTTGGGTTTCTGCCTCGGCGAACTCCCATGCAGTGTGGTAGGCCTCCTGGTACGTGGCCGGGGGTTTTCGGCAGAATTCCTTGTAAAGTTCCCCGGCTCGCAAACCATTCAGGAGGAGGGACCACACTGTCTTGTCATCCATTTCCTCAACCTTGTCTACCTCCTCCTTCCACCGGGTAAGGAATTGAGTGAGGTTCCCTGATTCCCGCTGCCCGGCTGTACTAAGATAGGTGAATTTCTTCCTCTTAGTACAGTTCTCCTGAAACTTGGCCTTGAATTTCGAGGCCAAGTCACTGAATGAGTCAATGCTTCCCGGGCGAAGCTTGTTGAACCACTCAGTGGCTCGATTCCGCAAGGTTTGGAAGAAAAGGAGGCATTTTTCTTCATCTGTACAACCGTTCATGGTTGCACTCTGATTGAAGGAGTCCAGGTGGATCTCTGGTTCCTCCTTACTGGTGAACCTTGGGGCGTCTATCTTAACCTTTCACGGGAAAGGTGTCAGATGGACCCTTGCGGTGAACGGGGAACCCGCGAGAGGTTTGTTCCGGTCACCCTTCTCCCCGACTTTCTTCTCCAGCCTCTCCAACTTCGCCTCCATCTGTTGGACGCGGTCATTGGGAACGGTTAACCGGTTAGCTACCGGTACTCTGGGCTGGCTTTCTGCTTCCTCCTGACGAGAGACCCTCGTCCTGGCTGGCTCCTGCCGGTTTGACCGGGAACGTTGGGTGCGGGCAGGCTCGGCCTCCTGCATCTCACCCAACCGGGCAAAAGCGCTGATATGGGCAACGCTCTGCCCCAGTCTCAGCTTGGCTGACTTTCTCTGGCCCTCTTCCCTATCCCCCAGCCTTTCGAAGGCGGAGTTTCGGGAAGTGGCGGGGCGTATGGCCTTTCCTTTCTTCTTCTTGTGGGCCCTCGGAATGTCCCACTCATCGTCCCTGCTTTCAACCGAGACGCAGTGACCATCCGGAGTGATTAGCGGATTCGTACCTTGCGGGGGACGCGACGGCCCTGCAGCGTTAAGTGCACCTGCCAAGTTGATGGGGGCCACAGCGCTGACCAGCTGCGGCTGGAAAGGTGACGGTTGCGGCACCGGCGTCTGGAACGGCGTCACTGCCATTGGAGCTTGAAGGGGCATGGTTCCCGCGCTTGGAAGAGCAAACGGGAACATACCAGGGAGAAAGGGCATCCCCCCATTCTGTTGGCACATGGCCATGACCTGGCCAAAGCCCTAGATGGCTTGTAGGTTGGCTGGGTCGTTCATGAACTGAGTCATGCTTGGTGGAAAGGTGACCCTTGGCCCAGCGGAAGGAACGGGGGCCGTGAATGGGCCGACCATGCTGGGTGTTGGGACTGAGCTTAGTCCCAACGGCAAAACTGGAGCTGAAACGGCTGGAAGGGCAGCAACCATGGGGATGCTGGTGCCTTCAGTGGTGGCTTGCACCCGAGCAGGGGTGGCGTTGATTTGTTGGCTTGAAGACATTTTGAGTGGTGTTTTTGTGGGCAGGTTTGTATTTAGAAGAGAAGAAACCTTAACGGGTCCCACGGTCGGCGCCAAAAATGATAGTGTAAATTACTTGACCGGTCAAACTATACTAGACCGGGTCTAGAGTAGTTGGCTTAATTCAGTAAAGCAAAGAAAGTAAAAACACTCAGTATGACCGGTAGGACTTTAGGTGGAACACCTGTAGCCCGAATTATCTTATAATAGAGAATGCACGGTCACTTTTACAAGGGGGTTTAGAGAGAATGAATTCGGATCCCCTTCTTCGAGGGTTACAAGTGCTATATATACTAAGCTGGGGGGGGCAAGACCACGTG